ACAAAATATTCCATGCAAATGGAAAGGAAAAGAAAGCTAGAATAGCAATACTTATTTCTGACAAAACAGACTTCAAAATAAACACCATAACAAGAGACAAAGATGGTCACTACATAATAGTAAAGGGATCCATCCAACAGGAGGAAATAACCTTTATAAATATATATGCACCCAGTATAAGAGCATCTTAATATATACAAAATTTCTTGGTGGACTATAAGGGGGAAAGTGATAGCAACACAATCATAGTGGGAAACTGTAACACCCCACTGTCATCCTTGGATGGACCATCAAGACAAATAATTGACAGGGAAACACAGACCTTAAATGACATGCTAGAGCTAATGGATTTAATTGACATTTACAGGACATTTCATCCCAAAGCAGCTGAATACACATTCTTCTCAAGTGCACATGCAACATTCTCAAAAATAGCCCCATCTTAGGGCACAAGGCAAGTCTCTACAAATATAAGAAGACTGAAATCATATCAAGCATCTTCTTGGATCACAATGCCATGAAACTAGAAATCAACCACTATAAAAAAACTCAAAAATATTCAAACACATGGAGGCTAAATAGCATGTTATTAAACAATGAATGGGTTACCAAGGAGATCAAGGAAGAAATCAAACACTTCATGGAAAGTAATGAAAAGAAACAGACAACAACCCCAAACCCAGGGGACACGACAAAAGCAGTCCTAAGAGGAAAATTCATAGTATTACAGGCCTACCTCAAGAAATAAGAAAAAGATCTAATGAACCATCTAACACAACAACTACAAGAACTAGAATGAGAACAGCAAGAAAAGCCCTGAGGAAGTAGAAGGAAGGAAATAATAAAAATCAGAGCAGAGATTAATGACATAGAGACTAAAAAAAGATACAAAAAGTCAATGAAACGAAGAGCTGATTCTTTGAAAAGATAAATAAGATTGATGCACTTTTAGCCAGACTTATTAAGAAACAAAGAGAGAGGACCCAAATAAATAAAATCATAAATGAAAGAGGTGATATAACAACTGACCCAACAGAAATACAAAAGATTGTAAGAAAATATTATGAGCAACTATATGCCAACAAATTGGACAACATGGGGGAAATGGACAAATTCCTAGAAGCACACAACCTTCCAAAGCTGAATCACGAAGAGGCAGAAAACCTGAACAGGCCAATAACAACTAATGAAATTGAAGCAGTAATCAAAAAACTCCCAGCAAACAAAAGTCCTGGACCCGATGGATTTACAGGTGAGTTTTACCAAACATTCAAAGAAGAATTAACACCTATTCTATTCAAACTATACCAGGAAAATGCAAGAGGAGGGAAAACTCCCAAATATTTTTTATGAGGCCAGCATCACCCTAATCCCAAAACCAGATAAAGACACCACAAAGAAAGAACACTGCAGGCCAATATCCCTGATGAAATACTACAAAATACTAGCAAACCAGGCCCAGAAATACATTAAAGAGATCATACACCGAAACCAAGTGGGATTTTTTCTGGGGATGCAAGGCTGATATATCAATAAATGTGATACATCACATAAGCAAAATGAAGGACAAAAATCATATGTTCATATCAATGATGCAGAAGAAGCATTTGACAAAATCTAGCACCCATATCTGATAAAAACTCTCAGCAAAGTGGGACTAGAGAGAATGTACCTGAACACAACAAAGGCCATATACAACAAACCTACAGCCAACGTCATACTCAATGGGCAAAAACTGAAACCATTTCCCTTAAAATCAGGAAGAAGACAGGGATGTCCACTTTCACCACTCTTATTCAACATAGTACTGGAAGTTCTTGCCACAGCCATTTGACAGGAAGAAAATGAAAAGGTATCCAAATTGGAAAGGAGGAAGTAAAACTGTCATTATTTGCAGATGACTTGATATTGTACATAAAAAACCCTCATGACTCCATGAAAGTACTACTAGATTTGATACATGACTTTGACAAGGTAGCTGGATACAAAATTAAGATCTCAGATGGCATTTTTATACGCCAATAATGAACTCTCAGAAAGAGAAACTAAATATATATATATATGTACCATTTACCATTCCAACTAAAAAAAAAGATACCTAGGAAAAAACTTAACCAAGGATGTAAAAGACCTATACTTGGAAAACTACAGGTCACTGAAAAAAGAAATAGAGGAAGATATAAACAAGTGGAAGAATATACCATGTTCATGATTTGCAAGAATTAATATTATTAAAATGTGCACACTGTCCAAAGCAATATATGGATTAAATGCAATTCCTATTAAAATACCAACAGCATATTTCTCAAAGTTAGAACAAATATTTCAAAAATTTATATAGAACCAAAAAAGACTCAAACAGCCATGGCTATCTTGAGAAAAGAAGAACAGAATGGAAGGGATCACTTTACTGGATATCTAACTGTACTTGAAAGCCATTATAATCAAAACAGCTTGGTACTGGTACAATACCAGACATATAGACCTCAGAAATAGACCCCAGCCATTATGGTCAGTTAATATTTGATAAAGGAGGCAAGAGCAAACAATGTAGTAAAGACAGTCTCTTCAATAAATGGTGTTGAGACAATTGAACAGGTACATGCAAAAAAATTAAGCTAGATCACCCACTTACACCATACACAAGAACAAATCAAAATGCATAAAATACTTAAGTGTAAATTGTGAAACCACAAAAATCCCGGAAGAAAACATAGGCAGTAAAGTCACAGACATCCCACAGTGGACTTTTCACTGATACATCACCTAGGTCAAGAGAAACAAAAGAAAAAATAAACATATGGGACTACATCAAACTAATAAGCTTCTCTATATCAAAAGAAAACAACTTCAAAATACAAAGGAACCCCAAGGTTTGGGAGAACATATTTGCTAAGGATGTATCTGATAAGGGGGCTAATTTCCAAAATGTACAAAGAACTCATACAACTCAACAAGAGGAAGACCAACAATGCAATTAAAAAATAGGCAAAAGACCTGAATAGACACTTCTCCAAAGAGAACATTCAGATGGCCAAGAGACACATGAGAAAATGCTCAACGTGGCTAATCATCAGAGAGATGCAAATTAAAACCACAATGAGGTGTCACTTCACACCTGTCAGAATGGCTCCATCAACAAATCAACAAACAATTTGTGCTGGCGAGGGTGTGGAGAGAGGGGAACCCTAGCACACTGCTGCTGGGAATGCAGACAGGTGCAACCACTATGGAAAACAGTATGGAGGTTCCTCAAAAAATTAAAAATGGAGTTGCCTTTTGACCCAGTGATCCCACTTCTAGGAATACATCCTAACAATCCTGAAACACTAATCAGACAGAATATATGAATACCGATGTTCATAGCAGCACAATTTACAATAGCCAGGATCTGGAAACAGCCCAAGTGCCCATCAGTAGATGAGTGGGTAAAAAAGCTGTGGGACATTTATACCATGGAATACTGTGCAGCTGTAAAGGAGAGGGACTTCGTGCCATTTGGGACAGTATGGATGGACCTGGAGAATATTATGCTAAGAGAATAAGCCAGGCAGAGAAAGATAAACATCACATGATCTCACTTGTATGTGGAATCTAAGGAACTTTATAAACTGATGGACAGAAGTTATTCAAGACATGGAAGCATGGGTCAAACTGACAAATCTCTGTGGGGGGCAGGTGGGTGGAGGGGGAGAGATTAACAAAAGTACTTAATATGCATATATTCATAACCCAAGGACACAGACAATTGTGTGGTGAGGGACTGGGGAGTGGGTTGGGGAGGATTGGAATGGGTCATTGTGGAGAAAATGGGACATCTCTAAAATTTTGAACAAGAACAAAAAAATTAAACATGGAACTGTCATTTTACCAGTGATCCCATTTCTAGGAATATGTTCTAAGAAACCCATAACACCAATAAGAAAGAATTTATGCACTCCTACATTCATAGTAGCACTACTTACAATAGCTAAGATCTGGAAATAGCCCAAGTGCCCTCTTCCCAAAAAATGAAGTGACCCACCCATTAGTAGGAATCAGGAGATCTGATGATTTGACATTTCTGCAGTCACTTGGGAGCCCTGAAGAACTTAGTTGGTGCTTAGTTGGAGACTAGGAGTCTGTAGGAGTCAGCAAGGAGGGGGAAGGAAAGGGAACCTTCTCTTCTGGATGTCCTCCTACCAATATATAATTGCATCAAATTACCATTCTGTAAACCTTAAACTTACACAGTATTATAACAAATATATCTTAATTTTAAATATATATATATCTGTATTGACTTCAGAGAGAGGGAGAGAAGGGGAGGGGGAGAGAAAGAGACATCAATGATGAGGGAGTCGTCATTGACAGGCTGCCTTCTGCACGCCCCTCACTGGGGACTGAGTCTGCAACCCAGGCATGTGCCCTGACCCAGAATCTAACCACTATCTCCTGGATCCTAGGTTGATGCTCAACTGCTGAGCCACGCCTGGCCAGAATTATATCTTAATTTTTAAAAAAATTAAAGAAGAAAAAGGAATAACAAACATTTTACACATAGAATGTTTTGCCCTTCACCAGTACTCCAAGCTAGGTGAACATGCCTAAAGGCCCTGGTCAATTTTAGGTAAGAAGTTAGAGCTAATGAGTCAGCAACTAGTGAAACTGCTGGACAGAACTATTACAAAGCAGAAAGCTGGATTCAGTCACCAGTTTTATTACTTGAATCCTTCTTCAACTAGGTCGCCAGGACTCCACTTCGTTGCTGTTTTTTGTTCCGCCTGCTCAGCCTGTAATGGTTTTGAAAGGCTTCATAGGTTTAGTCCTGAACCCTTCACCCTATTACCGAGTTAGAGCCTCTGCCTTTAACAGACAGCAGTCAACCTCGCACGCACGCGCAGTAGATCGGGGACTCTGAGAGCAGGGAAAATAGGGGGCGGACCCAAGTGAAGGCGCGGAAAAACGACGCCAACGGCTCTGACGCCAGCGGCTGCGACGCCAGCGCCATTTGCCTTTGTAGGAACGTGGTGTCTCCACGTTGCCAGGTACGACAGTGTATCCACCCTGGAAGTCTGCGATTGTTTCGTCCTGTGGGACCTTTGGCGGAATCGCCTTTGTGTAGGCACCGCGGGATAAAGTGGGAGACGCCAGGAAGCGGCCGACACCATCATGCCGAAGAATAAAGGTAATTTCTTGGCACCACTGTCTGTTCAGTCCAGTGCCCTCAGCCTTGAGTTGGTAACAAACCGCACATATCAGCCTTCCTTCCCTCTTGCGGCTGGGCGACCCGGGCACTCACAGCTGGGGAGAGGAACGGGAAAGTTTCTGCTGTGTTCAAATTTTGTCACATTGGGGTGGGGTCGACGCCATTTTTGTAGGGCCTTGTGCGGCGCCACAGGGACCTGTAAAGAGACCTGGCCCTTCAGCCCCAAGACTGTTGTGAGTCTGTTCTTAGGTTTCAAGCGTAATTTTGCTTCATTGGTTTCTTTATCGGCAGGCAATTATTGTTGGAGATATTCTCTCGTTAACTACGTAAATTATTGACACATAGATAGGTTACTCTCTGGATGTTTACTTTTCTCCAGCCCTTCATAGAGTTTAAAATTCTTTTTTAAAAGATATGTTAAACATTTAGCAAAGTTTTCAGCCTTCGTTTCCAGTAACCTTGTGGCGTGAGGATTTCTACTTGCTCTTTTCGTAAGGCAAACCGTTCACAAAAGAACAAGATTATTTGGAACTTCCAAAATGGGACGCTTCACTTGTACACTAATTTCTGAAAGAAATTTTGCTTCCTTTTATAGACCAGACATGTGTGATTTTTTAAAAGTCCTTAAAATATCTTCAAAAAAAGCTGATAAGTACAAACCTGGGAAAGTATTTTTGACAGGATACGGCCATTTTCCACAGCTCACAAGTAATCTCTCAATAATGCATTCTTAGGACACAGCTCTACCTGTGTCTTCCTTTCTGCTTCACAGGTGGCTCCAGGTATTCGACCTCATTTCGTCTCTGTAGCTTTCACCACTTACGCTTTTGGTACTTGGTTGCAATTCTGTGCCAGCCATATTCAGTGTAGTGTTGTGTGAGTCCCCTAAACCAACTGTCTAGATCTTTTTTATACCAACGGATTTATTGTTAATTTCTGGGAAACGCAGAGATTGTCTTTCTAAGTATATGTTAGAAAATGTTTATAGCTTTCTGCTAATCTCTAAAATTGAAAATTAGCTCACATGATAACTAGATTACTTTAAAAAGTAGCTCATTCTTACCTTTATTTCTAGTGATGAGCTTTTCAAATGTACAGCTTACTAACCTGTATACTCTAAAATGAATAGTTTTGTTTTAGAAACATTGGTTCCTACAATAGGTGTCTAATAAATGCTGTTGATGTTATCTCCCTGTACAGACTCGACCCTTAGACAAAAAAGTTTCCCCCTTGGTTCTGTAGGACTTTTAAACTAAATGCTTAAGAAAGGCTCTATCAGAGAATATCTCCAAAATATCTGTTTTGATTAAGAAAGATTGTGAATTTTCGTTTAGTTTACTTATAGAAAGAGGGTAAGAAAATGTTAGAATACAGTTTACGCAAGAGAGATTTTAAAGTGGATTCTACTACATGACAAAAAGGGGGTGATTAGGGCATGGTTAATTCAGGTAACTTGACAACAGTTCATTTTTATATTTGAGACACAACAAAAGGTATAGATACAAGCCCCCTGTGTACCTCTTTCAAATCTCTCTCCTTTTTTTCTAGAGATAATCATCCAGAATTTTATGTTTCAAAATCCATATGTAAAACCAGTCTGTTATCTCTTAGGTTACTAGTTAAAGGGTTCTTTTTATTTATTTTTATTTTTAAAGGG